TGTGTGTGTGTGTGTGTGTGTGTGTGTGTGTGTGTGTGTGTGTGTGTTTGCTGGTGGTCAGAGTAATGTCGGGGACAAAGGGGAATCACATTTGTCTCTGTGTCATTCTTAAGAAGAAACCCATCAAATTCTAATGAGGGTCTCACTCTAATCAAGAACATTTAAAATGGGCCGAAATGGGAGAGAAATGTACAGCTCTCATTGTATTCAGTTGGTATCAGAGTAAAGCAGAGGACATTTTGAAGACTAACAAGAAACTCTGGCTGGACCTGGACCTGAAAACAAAGCCTGAACTGAAGCTGAGGTTTTAAGGGGCAACAGGCTTGTTTGTCGTACTGAACATTGTTGAGCCACCAACATATATACGTGTCCGGGGAGAATGTAGCTCTCTGCCATTTTTAGACCGGACTGCCACTGTGAGCTGTAGTCGCATCTGATAATGGAACCGTCTGAGCTCTTGACAGAAGCATGAGGAGTTTGGTAAGATGATGATTTGTACTGTTATTGCTTCACCACATCTATTTATACGGTTTGTTTTTGGTCTCAGTGTCTTACAAACGTACAAGTCTTGAGGATTTGAGTTCTGTTTCAGTGGTTTCTACTCTAAAAAAATGTGACGTCCTCAGCATGGTGTTCAAGCCTGGCTTTTATTTGACATATTCTATTAAGATAAAGCTCGTCATTGACTCTTGTGTGATGCGTGTGTTTGTTCCTCCTGCCCCCCTGCAGCTACTGGGTTACTAACTATGACTCAAATGAGTCAAAATAGAGTTGTCAGGTTCGTATTTCCCATCCGTTTGCAGTGGTGTTCTGTCTCTGGTGTGTCAGGGTTTATAGCATTGTGTGTGTGTACTGAGTCTATGTTTAGCATTATGCATATGTGATTAGGTCAGCCAGTCAGAGCTCCCATGGCTCCAACGGGGAATCTCCTCCCTGGTTCTGAAGTCCAGAGGGAAAATAGCCCTGACAGGTGCAGTGAGCGGGGTCTGTCTGTGCCACCTCCTCTACTACTCACGCTTTCAATTTAGACCCTTACGCATTTGAAATGACATGGCTCACCACAGGCAGCACATTGACAGCCCACTCCTGAGCGTCTAGCATAATTGTGTAATTGCCTGCGTAGTTATTTGAAAAAAAAAGTGTTTCATATACTGTATGTGATCCGTGAGCCTGGTGAAAGCCCTGGAAAAGATTTATGGTGATGTGATGACGTCTTGCCAGCGAGTCACACATCACCTCATTCCTGTATGTTTATTGGCTGGATTTTATAAAGCACCGAGACCTCTTCTGCTCGAAATAGATTAGCTTTGACGTCGAGGCTGCTGCATTATGTTGCTGGTCAGGACAGGGGATATTCTGGGCACACTATTATAGTTTTACAATGAATAAATAGACTGTTGCCAACTGCAACTCCAATGTACTGGATGCTACTTAGTAGGACTAATGCCTGGTCGGTAATGTTAGCCAGTTAGAAAGTTTTTCTTGTCATAAATCCCATTTTAACATGATTTCTGCCCATTTATTCATGATTTGACAGCATGAAATTATAGATTACAACACTGATTATTGGCTATAGGACGCTGACCTGATATAACCTGGTTTGCGTCCAACCAGAGACCTTTGTTGCATGTCATCCTCGTCTTTCACCACATCAATAAAGGCAACAGAAAAAAATTAAGAAAACGCCAGATTTGAGAATTAGGTGCCCACACTTTTCATTAAACACTCGTCTTCATAACATCAACAGTTCATTGGAGCAGCCTCATGGTGCTCTGGCTATGCTTCTTGTCTTACAGGGAAAGGGATAGGGCTTGCTCATCAAAACAGTTTTCTCTTGGTCTGCATAACGCTGCTGGATGGCAACAAGCCAGGGGCACTATTAGGGAACTGGGAAAGACATCACATGGTACCGGCCTCATAGAAATGGTGTCAGAATGTGAAAAGATAGGGTTTAAAATAATAAAGCAAGAGTAGGAATGTCCAACTGAATCAATAGTTAGTTCATATGACAATATCACTGAAGTGTAAAATAAGTGGAGTACTTGCTGGAAACAGCTCAAGTAAAGTTACAGTACAGATTGTACATACGGTGTGAACATGGCAGTAACCATTTCATTCAAACATACACTACCATTTGCACTAAGGCTCACCACGCTTGTCCCGTAGTCATACTTATCCACTTCTGACCAACATGTATGGAGTGGTGATAATATCTATTTAAAGTAATTGAATGTGCAGAATATTGATTAAAGCACATTATTGACGACCTGTGAGGGTTCATGTTTACTGTCAGTGTTTCTCATCCAAACCCGCTGTAACCTCGAGGTCTAACAAACGTGTAGGGTGCAATTTACCCAAAAGGGGATGTTCTCCAACATACATGCTTTTAAAAATAACAGAAAATCCTATAATATAAATGTGGAAGTGGAAGAATGTGGAATTGCACTGAGCAGTTTGGGTGCGTATGCTTAATTACAGGTGGTTTTGTGAGGGCAAGGAGCTGGAGAACAGCCCTGACATTCAGACCATCACCGACGGCGAGCTGCACTCTCTGATCATCACAGAGGCCTTCGAGGAAGACACCGGACGTTACTCTTGCTTTGCATCGAATTTCTATGGCACCGACTCAACATCAGCGGAGATCTATGTCGAAGGTGATTCTTACGGTTCTTTGTTACCGACGCTTTTACGGTTCAGTTACACGCTGTCAGTGACAGAGTTGTGTGCGCTTGTTTGTTCAAACCAACAGGTGCCTCCTCTACGGACTCTGAGGGGGAACAGCACCTTGAACATGAAGCCCAGTGAGTTTTTACCACATTGTCACTCTGATAAAAACAATAACTGATGTGGTTCTTCCATAAGCTGTTCCTTTCCTCCCTCTGTGATTTTCAAAGGCTGCAGAAGAAATCTTCACCTCCACCATCGAGCCAAACTCTCTCTGTAGAAGGGGAAGACTCTCCGTCATCCCAACCTGCAGCAGCCACTGAGGAGCCAGATGAGCAGTTCTCCTCTCCAACAACTAACCAAATAATCCCAGAACCTCTTCTAACAGTATGGACATCGGCCACCGTTCTTTCAGTCCCAGAGTCGTCTAAAATATCTGTGGCATCCACAGCTCACTCTGCTCAGGAGGAGGCGACAGTGTCACCTGTGCAGGTGTTTCCTACTTTGCCCCCTGGTGATACAGAGCTTTCAGAAGCCCAGGAGGCGTCGACATCTGTCACAGCAACACCACCGCCATTGCAGACAGCTGCATCGATAGCTGCGTCACTGCCTTTGAACGCAGTGGCCTCGTCCGCACTGCCTGTCCTATCTGCTCCAACACAAACACCCCAACCTGAGGTAAAAGATTCCTTCCTAATTATTCTCAAATGACTGTTTTTGTATATTTGAATGAACACGTCCTCTGTGTGTTTTTTATCTTCAGAGTCAAACCTCCATCCACAACTATCCACAAGGGTTGAACGGCCAACCCATCATGGCTGCCCCTGTATTCACAAAGGTAAAGTCATTCTCAACAGAATTTTTACTGCTACTTTTATGCATTTATTGAGGTAACATTCACATTGTCTTGTCCCACCAGAGCCTGCAGGACCTCCTTGCGTCAGAAGGCCAGCTGGTGGTGCTAGAGTGCCGTGTGAAAGGGGTACCGTCACCTCGAGTGGACTGGTACAGAGAGGGCAAAACCATAGAGGACTCTCCTGACTTCAGGATCCTGCAGAACAGTAAGCTCCTCTGCTGCCCCACTACTGCCGTACTATTGGACTTGCTAATGTGCTTTAATTATCTTTAAGAGCGCTGTGTCTGCGGATTGTGTGCCAGATTTGACAGGCCTTGTTTCATAAAGAATAGGAGTTTTTCGAATAATTTATTAATTAAGATTTAAAAACTTAATTGCATCTTAAACAAGTTCAGTTTAATTTAATATATTTATGTAATGTGAGTTTTGTGTTTCTTAAAAACCTTGGCATGCAGACAAAAAATTAAAATAACAGTGATGCCACAATAAAAACATAAATCTCCAAATTGCCTGATTTAATGAAAGAGATTACTTTTAGTGCTTTAATAACTACACTGTGCTTTAAAACGCTGTTAGTGTACTGTATGTCAATTATATATCCATATTGCCGTAAGACATTAAAACATAAAGTCCTTTGTAAAAAATAAAATCCTGTCGAATGCAGGGAATATTATTGAGCCTAAACGCTGAAAAATATTGATATTGCTGTAAAATATTTTCAGGTTACAAATGTGTTTACGTGCAGAAATCTTGTGTAAATACTGTAAATGGTAACATCTCATAATACAGTGTTACAGTGTGGGATTTAGCAGCATAAATATACAAAATGTATTTCTCAGAGAAAATTAAAAAGAAAGGTCATCTTGCATCAACTGATTGTGGAATGTGATCAGTGATAATAATGACTCAGAGAAGTGCTACATATTGTTAAACCATAACTTGTATCACATTTTCACAATGATTTTGGTGCTTGTTTCCATTTCAGAGCCCAGATCTCCAGCTGAATCAGGCACATATTAAATTGAACTGTTGACTGCACCATAGCAGCGGCCTATCTGTATATGATGCTGCAGTGTGTACATATTAATCTGCTCAAGTGTTTATAGTCCTTGGCGAAGGCTGCTGCTGTTCTTCTTGTACATAAGCCAGGGCTGCTTTTCCCTGGACCATATAAGGTAGTCTCTCATCCTGTGTCAAACCACTTCAAGCTGCTGTAGCTGCAGATAGACTCTCAGCCCCAGTGACACAAAGAAGCATCACTGCTGGGCATCTGAAACACAAGTCCTGTATCTTTCCTCAGTCTATTAGGACTCTCTAGCTGAGAAGTTAATATAATGCAGTTATACCACACAAACTTGATTATGTGAGTATCACTTCTTTTTTCTTTTTTTTTTTTTTACTTCAAGAGGGAATATGCACTCTGGTCATTGCTGAGGTATTTCCTGAAGATTCAGGGATGTTTACTTGCACAGCAAGCAACAACTATGGAACTGTGTCCAGCGCTGCGACTCTAAGGGTCAAAGGTAACCCTCCTGTTTCACTTTTAGCTATCTTGTATTCTTATGAAAGAGCATGGAAAATACTGATATGTATCTGTCTGATTCTCATCAGGCAATGGCAACAACAGCAACCACGTGAGGCCTTTTAGCAGTTTGACGGTGAAGTCTAATCAAATCCAAGAACCTTCATCAGCTCCCGCTGTAATCCCTCAACCAGAGGCTACTGTGACCAACAGCATCAAGCCCCACTCCAGCACCATTCGCCTAGACCCGCTCGTCTCTAGCACCTTACGTCTGGACCCCTTGAGCACCAGCACCCTCCGTCTTGACCCCAATGGCTCCAGCATGTTGCGCCCAGACCCCTTCCGCACCAGTCTACACAGTCTGGAACCCTCCAGCCTGAGCAGCGGCTCCTGCCTCAGCTCTCGCAGCACCAGCACCCCAAACCGAGATCCTCCCTGTCTCCACCAGAACCCTCCTGGAACCAGTGGACCACGTCCAGAACCACAGGTGCTCTCATACCCAAAACCCTTCACTTCTCAATTTGCGGTTGAGACTTCAGCTGAGCAGGAAGTGCCCCTACCTTCGGTGACATCACCTGACACGAGTCCCAAAGTCAAGGGGACCCCAAACCATCAGAATGGGAGCCTCATTGTGGTGCCCCTCCCTGATCCCCCTCCTAACTCCTGCCTAAAGACAGGCGCCCAGACGAACCACAAAGACTCACGCTCCGTCTCCAGGGTCGGCCTGCGTGTGCACTTCAAACTGCCTGAGGAAGAGGAGGATGAACAGAGTGACTCATCCAGTCAGTTAGATGATGACGACACCATGTCAATCAACAAAGAACCCCCACCAGTGCTGGCGAAACCCAAACTGTGAGTAGAGCAAATAAAAAAACAAGTATAAGCACATGAGTCTCATTTCGGGTGGGAGGTTCCTCCTCCTCTAGCTCAACTAGCAGCTGTAGTCAGTTGCAATTCACAATTGAATGCATGCAGACTTCAAATGTGGACTTTCCGGCTTTCTAAAACAAAGGATGGCATTTTCTATTTGTAAGTGCACCTCTATGTATTTATGTTCCTCTAATATTTGTAATAATGCTATAATTTAAATATTTTATGCTTTAATGAGCTGTTTACTGCTGTCTTTGCTTAAAACACAAATGACAATTTGTCCTGTATTGTTTCATTTTTAAAACATTGTAGCAATTTGATAAAAAAAAACAAAGAGTGTCTCCTGTTTAGAATGAAAGCTGAAAGAGCTTGGACGGTGTTTTGTTTGTAGACTACTTGTTGGTAGCCCATAAAAGGGCAGAGTATTCTTCATGCCGACTTTGGCTCGTTCCAGCTGGGGTTTACAGCGTGGACTTAATTTATGAGAGCAGTGCACTGAGCTGCTCTCATTTTCACCATGTATAGTGTCATTTTTTGGAAGGTTTTTTTATTTTAGTTTTGCTTTGATCAACAGGGACCCAGTCCAGCTCCGGCTGCTGCACAACCAGGTCCTTATGGAGCAGCAGCAGGAGACGGAACCTGAGACCCAAACCCACACCCAGCCGCAGTCCCACAGCCAATTACAGATCCAGATCCAGCCCGAGGTCCAAAGCTCCAATGAAGGTCCGCTGTGGTCCCCCAGAATGCACCTTGAACCCCATCCGCCACCTTTCCAGCCCATCCTCAACACCACGTCGCCCCCGCAGCAGACGCCCCACTCTGCACCTCCGCTGACCACCGCTCCCCCTGTTCCCTCTCTAAGCTCTGCTCCAGCACTCAACACCACCTTTTCACCTCTTCTCAATGCTTCTGCTTCCCTGGTGACCTCTCCTCCACCTGCCGCACAGCTGAAAACATTCCCCCCTTTCAGCGTAGCTCCTGTAACCCAGATGAACACCATCCATGCCTCCCACCTCAACCTCTCCCCTGCAGCTCTTGCCAGAACTGCACATACACCCCAATTTTACCCTCCTCCTGCACCGAAGCTTAGTACTGCCCTTCCAGGTCCGGCCTCAGCCTTACAGCAGATCATATCTCCTGCTCCGCTACTGAGAAGCACCCACGCCTCCCTCATGAACCTCACCGCCACCTCCCACACCTTCAACTATGCCCGGCCAAAAGAGTTCATAGCTGCTCAGGCCTTCTCACCGGTCAGGAGTCCTTCTCCGACAGAATCACCGGTCCCTCTGCTCCAAGAGCTGGCCGCTGAGCTCAACTCCTCCGCAGCCAGCTCCCCTACTCTCCCACCATTCTCCCCACCACCCATGTTCTTCCCCACGAGGGTGCTCAAGTCTCCCACCAGCCCTCCCTCCATCGTGTCCTCACCCTTACCGGTGTCGGCGGCATTCCTGAACAGCCTGTTCGCCATGAGAGCCCAGTCGCCTCCCCAGGCCTCCTCTCCCACGTCCAGCAGCTCCACCCCAAGCCCCATTCAAAACCCAGTGGCGTTCCTGAGCTCCGTCCTGCCGTCCCTGACCCCGAGTCAGCCCACCAACTCAATGGGCCTGCCCAAGGGAGCTCCTTTAAGGTACACCCTCTCTGACGGAGTACGATGCTCATGAGAGTGGTGAACTGTCGCACGCTATAATACACTTTTCCCTTCTGTCTTCTCAGGCCAAAAAAGAGCGTACCAAAGATGCGCCTCCCGTCGATGGAGGACAACCGAGAAAGCAAAGTAATTCTGCTCCAAGATATTGAGAATAAGCTTCGATTTAAAGACGACGCTCCACATTTCACACATCAACAGGTACTAAGTAGTCTCCAGCTCTGCTTGATTTCTCCTTTTTTGAATGCTTCAATGGCAGTGATCTGGTGGTGAATAAATAAATGGAAACTACGAGAGAAATTTTCTCTGAACTATCTTCAAATTGAAAGTGGATTTCAGCCTCCATCACATCCTTGCTCATAAATATCAATAAATTATCTGTTTGTTGACATGTAGGTATGTGATCGTTAAATGTTAAGGAAGCAACTGTTTTAAACTTTTAGGAATGAAGTTATGTAGTTACTGTATATTAACCAATGACTGCGCTGTATTCTCACTTGTCTCCAGGTTTCTACTTATGAATTCATTTTGAGATTCATATTTAAAAAGATAATAAAAGACAGATATCTTAAAATGTAAAATGATAAAGGGACATAAAATCGCTCAGATTGACTCAGAGGCAATGAGGAACTGGCTTCATTTCAACGGAGCATCAGCCATCATTCCCTCCAGTTATTCATTGTTGTGTGTCCATGTAGCGTAACAACATACGCACGCTATTAACAATTAGCTTGTGTGTTATTCCATCAGTAGGTCCTATATGTTTGTGTGTAGAGTATGTGTGTCTTCATCCATCCCTATCCTCTCATAGAAGCTGAGTAATGAGGGGGAAACAGCGAGCAGACCCCTTGGACCAAACATTCCTGCTACTGTCATTAACTATGATGAGGTACAAGGATCTTCCCGTCCCAACCACTGGTTTGCTCAAGGCTTTATGGGTTATTAAAATGTTTCAGGCCGAGATCAAGAAACGTCATTGTCTAAATATCATGGATATCTCTAACAAGCATTCCAGCTTCTGTACTAATATATAACCTGCATTCAGTGCTGGGGAGTGATGAACTATGTAGTAGTTTAAAGGGACAGTTCACCCCAAAATCAAAAATACATATTTTTCCTCTGTAGTGCTGTTTATCAATTTATTTATTAGATTGTTTTGGTGTGAGTTGCCTAGTTTTGGAGATATCAACTGTAGAGATGTCTGCTTTCATGAGAGGAAATGAATGATTTTTGTTTTGTTTTATTGAACAATTGCTTCTCTAGTGTAACTAAACCCCTTTGATCTGTCCTCCTGACCCTTTTTTCTTTCAATGCGTTTGTCAGGCAGCCACCAACACACACTTGACCTTTCACCTTTGTGTAGTGCCTGCCTGCAAGTGCAAAACAACAAGCCCATTTTTTAAGACCAGTGCTTAAGCCAGTCAAATAGTCTAAAAAGTTAAATATTTATGACCTGTGAACAAGTGCTTGCGTGTGAGTTTTTGTACCGTATTTAGTTATAATTTACTTGTCAATTAGATTTTTTTTTTTTCTTTTTTAGTTTGAACTACTTTTTCTAAGTTGCTTTAAATAACCCGGGTAGCTTTGCTGTAGTTCAACTTCTTGTAGTGTGAAGTAATTGGTAGCTTGCAAAGCTTTGCTTTCAAAGTAGCTTCCCCAACACTGCCTGCATTCATTAAGCCAATGAAATGGAACGACTCTACTGTTGTGTCGTGCTGTATTCTCCAGTTTTCAGTTATCTCATTTTACATTTTCCCCACTGAAGCCTGCAGCCCCTTTCCTCTGTTTGCATTTCAGATTTTCCCAAAAAAGCCAACATGACATAGTCCACTTTTTAAAAACAAAACCCTCAACTCACAAACCTGCATATTGCCCTTTCATTTTATACTCTTTAACAATCTCCTGCTAGTTTTGTCTTTCAACTCTGCAGTTCGCCTCTCGAGTTCATCTTCCTCTGTACTCTGTTTAACCTTCAACCCTATTTTGTTTTACCAACCAGAGATGATACCGCCAGACAGATGCCATGCCACTGCATGATAATCATCATCAACTGGCTTAAAGTGACAAAAATACCGTTTTGTTTAGAGATTTGAGTTATGTATTGTTACTTTAATACCACGGATGCTACACGTTAATAGATGCACGTTATCTCATGTTTCTGATTGTTGCATACTTCTCCAAGAGCATTTGTTGCAGTGTGTTAAGCTTTCATGTCCGAGACAGATGTAATGCAACCGTTGACTGTGGCGATTACTTTTATGTGGTGGATTTACTTTTCCAGCAGTACAAAGTGTCCAACTTCGAGCAGAGGCTAATGAGCGAGATCGAATTCCGTTTGGAGCGGACGCCGGTGGAGGAGTCGGACGATGAGGTGCAGCACGATGACGTCCCTACAGGAAGATGCATCGCGCCCATATTTGACAAGAAACTGAAGAACTTCAGAGCCATGGAAGGCGTGCCTGTCACTTTGTCATGTAAAGTAGTGGGAATCCCTTTCCCAAAGGTGAGAGGTCAAAAACTGTGCTGCACTAATGACAGCATGCTCTTGTCACTTTCATCCCTCAACTTTACCCTCCACATGTGCGTCTCTCATCATCAGGTTTACTGGTTCAAGGATGGCAAGCAGATCTTGAGGAAGAAAACCCATTACAAGAAGATAAGAGAGGGGGATGGGACCTGCGCTCTACATATAGAGTCCACGACCAATGACGACGACGGCAACTACACCATCATGGCAGCTAATCCACAGGTGATACCTCACACTTCCTGTTCATACTGTCAACGCCTTCTCACCTGCTACAAAATCTGATATTTGATATTTGATGACCATCAGGGACGAATAAGCTGCTCGGGTCATTTGATAGTCCAAACGGGACCTCCCCGACTGACACCTATTCACTCTCAGAGGTGAGCAGGACTGAGTGTGCAGTGTGGTCTGCAGAGGTAAGAAGAAGCCCTCTGCAGCATGAGGGACCAGCCAATTGATGACTTTCCTCCCTGACAATAGTGATATTTTGTGATTGTGTGTATCTAACATAAAATGCTAACATACTGTACATCACGATAAAGACCAATGTGGGTTAACGTCAAAGCGTGTATTCGGGCCCCACAACATGCTCTGTTTGCATTTCTCAGGGTGCGAGCCCGCATACAGGAAGTGGAAAGTGAGCAAACCCAGGAGCAATTTTTTCGGCCTCACTTCCACCAGCCTCCGGGGGACATGCTGGCTCATGAAGGAAGACTGTGTAGACTAGAGTGTAAGGTAGGCAGCAGGTCCTGGTGCATACTACAAAGATATTGAATTTTTGCCTTATTTTACTTTCCACGTTTTCTGTCCTACAGGTGAGCGGCCTCCCCAACCCGGAGCTCATGTGGTTGGTCAACGGGAGGCCAATCTATCCAGACCTTTACCACAAGATGGTGGTGCGGGAGAATGGCATCCATTCTCTGGTCATTGATCCCCTGACACAGAATGACGGCGGCACATACACGTGCATCGCCAGCAACAAAGCAGGGCAGAGCTCTTTTAGTCTCGAGCTCAAAGTTGTGGGTAAGGACTGGATGTGCTCAATGAAAAGGAATGAATTGCTCATACACAAGTCAGTTGAATAGCGTGATGTCCCATGCCCTGTTTGGAAGTTCATGTAATCTAAGTCATGTCCACTTCAGAGAAAGAGATGAAGCACCCTCCCCAGTTTGTGGAGAAGCTGCAGAACATGGGTATTCCTAATGGGACCCCAGTCAGGTTGGAGTGCCGGGTGGTGGGCATGCCCCCTCCCGTCATCTTCTGGAAGAAAGACAATGACACCATTCCTAAAACTAAGAACAGAATCAGGTCAGTAGGAGTTCTGAGCCTCTCTGTGTAGCTGTTTTAGTACAGTGTATTGCAACTTAATGGTTACAAAGATCTCTATTGGAACTGGAATGAATTCTCCACGATCTGTTTATTTCAGCATGACCCAGGATGCAACTGGATATGTGTGTCTCCTCATCCAGCCAACAACAAAAGACGACGCTGGCTGGTACACAGTGTCGGCAAAAAACGAGGCTGGAATTGTATCCTGCACCTGCAGGCTTGATATCTACGGTGAATATTCTGCACAGCTGTGTGACTATCAGCTTTATTAACAAATGTGCCTCATTTTGGTAGTAATACTAGCTATCTGCTGCGCCTTTAGCTCAGTGGCATCAGAGCATCCCTGCACCCATGAAAATGGCTCCACGTACGGGCAGCCGCTACGCAGCTCTGACGGGCCAGGGGCTCGACATCAAGTCGATTTTCCCTACGTCAGACACCAACCCCATCCTGTTCTCCAGCTCCCCTCCTGAAGTCATGCTGGAGAGCGAGGAGCTGTGACACTGCAGCACGGCAACCCTCCAGAGATCTCCCAGCACATGCTGAGGTCGAAACCGCGGAGGGCTAAAAGGAGAATGACGAGCAGATTTGCCATGTGATTTGTGTGATGCATTTTGAAGTGATACACTCAGAGTAGAATGGCAATGAATTATTGTGTTACAGCTATCAGCACTGATAGTGGGGTTTGTCACCATTCCTATTTACTCAAGTCATACGAAAGATGTGTTTCACATACAGAAAAACAGATTTGCAAAGTCTTAGCTCATGAGGTTGAATAGTGTTGCTCTGACCGGTTTGAATGACTCACGTTTGTTTTCTACATCATATTGAGCTACGATAGTGAGGGTGTTGCTGAATGTTGGTGAACATCTGTTCTTAATCGTTAGTCCTGTTCTCAAAGTGGTACAAGCACTGCTTATTGTTATTGCAAATAATATCTACCTGAACTGGTAGTAATAGTTTCTGTTAAAGTTTATATGAAATGTCTATAAATATAAACTTATTTATTAATAATCACCGGTAGTTTAGAGTATATAAATAGACATTTGAATCTGCCATTTAGAGCAGTTTATTTAAATGGCTCCAGCAAGATGGGATTCTTTCGACATTTACCGAGATCATTTCTTGATGTTCATCACTGGTTCATATTTTTGCACCATGTTTTTTTTTCCATGTGCATGCATGCCAATGGTTGATGATTGATGCAATATTGTATACACACTGTGTCTGCAGGCATAGTAATAATAAGATGCTGTTAGGTGACTGTCATTCATGGTTACTAGTTGAAACACAAAATATTTCTTCAAGTATGTTTGGCCTTCAGGTGATTTAATTCATCTTTATATGGACAACGATTTATCTCGATCGTATCTACAGTTGGAGACGCATTACCGGAGGAATGACTCGGATGAGACTCAACGCTCTTATTTTGTGGTAAGACAGACTGTTGGCTTTGCTTTGAAATGACACCAACAAGTCACACAGAGGTTATAATTGAACTTCTATCAGTCGGTTAATAAATATATTGAAGAAAAGCACATACTCAACTGATGTAAAGTTGCACTTTGTAAAATAGTTTTGTCCCTCTCAGAATAAAGTTATATTTATTCAAATGAGTGATATGTTTGCTTTGCTGGAACATGTGGGTATAATGCTGCATGCTGCTGAGAAAGCACCTGAAAGTTTAACTGGTGAAGTTATCTCATTTCTTCCCTCTTTAGATAGAGGTTAATGCAGGGACATCATTTTGATGTCAAAGATGGGGGAGGAGGTGCTGTGTCACAGACATGTACCTTTTTGCTATTACCAAGGACTCTTCCAGCTGAGTTACACACACAATAAAGGATTTCCAAAAAATAAAAATAAATGTCCATGAATGTGTTGAGTGGCTGTGCTTGTTTCAAATAACATGTAAAAAGAATAACACAGTTCAGCTATGCCATTATCTATGGCTATAGCTAACTTGAAGACATTTAGTAAGTGATATCCCAACATTATCCCACTATAAATATTTCTAACTTTACATTAGCTAACCAAATATAGATTGTCTGAGACATCACTCATATTCTTATTTTGAAAAAGATGTCTTGTGTTGTGCGTCTTCTGTAGCTTGGGAGGGTTTGGACATTGCTAACGTAACGTGAGGGGACGGGGAGCTGGAAGGGGACTGAGAGCTGGTGCTGTTTCTGCGTGGTGCTAGGTGCATGCAGAGTCTTCAGGTTGTTTTAATTTGAAGTTAGTTTTTTCGGACTAGTGAAGGGGTCCAATACTGCCTTCTGATAAAGTTGGGGGGACATGCCCCCTGTGTCCTCCACAGTAATGTATGCCCTTGGGTTGATGGATAGTTTGCTCTGACATTAATGTGGGTTAAAATCAAAATTTTTGCTGTCATTACTGAGAGCTTGTTGTGACCATGCTTCAATCGGAGCCCTATTAGCTTAAACTGATGCCAACTTCAAAACAATTAGGAAAGCTCTGAAGCCAATTAAGCATTGCTAATCAGTTCAAATATAGGGGAAGAGAGTTCAAATAGGCATAAAATTACATTCACCTTATGTGACCTAATTATACTCCGAGCCTCATCTGACCAGCTGCCAGGCCTACTTGTTAACTGAGTGCTGCGTGTGTTGCTAAGGAGTACATATCTGTGGGCTTTGAATGGGATGGGGTTTGGTTTTGAAAATCCAATATATTTATTTTTTTATATTTAATTAATTAGTCATAGCTCACTTATACTGAATCTTGCCATGATGTTTCAAATACTGTTTTACATTTTCTAATTGTTCTCACTTGATTACTGCAGTGTCGACACAATAATAACAGTAATCTTTTGAACCAGCAATAAAAGTTTCCACATTGGAAACCAAAAGTAGTGACACACTTGTGACGTGTTCATCTCTGCTCATTCAAATTTCCACTGCTCTTTTAAACTAATCCTGTGCTGATAATGAGATTTATCAAGTCAAACCACACATAGGCAGAGGGAATCTTTTCCTACACTTTCTCCTGTACTGAAACATACGCTTTGTGCCTTAATCTCTAGTTTCTCCATAAGGAAAACTGGATTTACGAGGGTACATGCTTCTGTCCCAGCAGACGGGTCACTCCTCAGTTGTGACATATGGCTTTTGACAGAGAGCATGGCTCAGCCACCAGTGCTCAGACAAGCCAATCATGTGAGTGGTTGTTAAAAAAAAAAAAAAGGGTGGAAGACACGGAAGGGCCGGGCCACGTCTGAGACGAGGCCCTCAGACAAGACAAGCAGCAGCTGGCAAACTACATCAATCTGTAATCAATGAACCAACTGGTAGATGGGATTATATGCCTAATTGCACAGCTAACCAGTCCATCCCAAAATGACCAGACAGCATCAGCTTGTGTCCATGACCCAATACCAGAGACGGGCATTATTCTAGGCCTCCGACAGTGATTAATCATTCATAACCTGCCTCTGCACCCAAGCTTTGAGTTCTGCACAGTGACAGGAGCCCACAAAGGAGGGCCCCAGAAAATAAAGCAGAATTCAGATTCTATTAAAGATTCGATTAAATCCCTGCTTTCAAATTTTACTTAAATTACAAGTACAGAAATATTACAACATATATTTAGGTATCAAAAGTGCAGAAATCTCCTTTTTACAGTGCAGAATTGTCACATATTACTAATATTGATGCATTGATGTGTAAATGAATGAAGATTGAACTAATTTGAACTAATTTGTGTATTGTTGGGTATTTTATAACTAGGAGCTCATTATTTTATATGTAAAGAAATCTTCACAATCTGCTCAATCTATGCATCTTTTCTCAGGCAAACACACAATTAAATGCGATTTAAAGCACAACTGAGAGATCGTTATGAGAATTTAAAGTAGAGTAAAACCTGAGTCTGATTAAAGTTGTTTTTTGTGTGGCTGCGTGCGCTAACAGTCAATAGTGTGTTTGCGTGTGTGTGTGTGGAACAGAGGAAGATATTCAGATCCATCCTCCTGAATTACACGATTCAATGTTGGCAGATGGGAAGGACAGACAGGCAAATTATTCTGTCCGTCCCATTTTTCTCGGACCACCACACAGATCAATTATTTATTTCACATGTGGTCCCAAGTACGAAAGGAACATTAATGCATCCCACATACTGTGATTCATTAAGACCACAGCACTGGAAAACACACTTTTTGACTGACGTACTTTATAATGTAAAAAGTAGAAGAACTTTTGGCTATTTCACATGTTCACAAAGTGCTCTCCAAATCTCAGATGGCACAGTAATCTGTGCACCATCTTGGTCCATATTGTTTGGGAGTTATAATCCCCCGATGTGCTGTTAAAATCCCTGAGGTTATGGGCCACACTTCCACTTCTGTTGCCTCAGGCTAATCTCAGATTATGGTTATTATCACGTGCAGACCAGTCACATGAGAAGTGAGACGGCACTTCTTGGTGGCATCTTGGCCGGAAGTCCATCAGGTTTTAATAAAACCTGATGGACCAAGATGCTTTCAAAGATTTCATATCTAGTTTTATAAATAAAGACACATGGCAGCTAAATATAACAATGGTTTAGTAACAAAGTTATTCAAATTTCCATACAAAAATCTTACATTTTAGAAGCAGAAAATATTTGAACTTGTAAAATATTGAATAGAAAACAATTAATTATACAATGACGTGAGATGTTTGCATATACGTAAAAGTAAAATTTAAGTACAGTGAATAGTAATTAGATAAAAATGACACTAGTGCTTTTATTGGCATTTTAGAAACATTTGTGTAGTTTAATATATTTGCTAATACCTGACAGTAATAACAATCCAAAATGTGTCAAAATGTTGTTTAATTCATATCTCAATTAAGAGTTCAGACCTTAAATGTTAATTGCTAGGTTTCTATTGACTCAGGAAATATTCACAATCTCTTAAAAGTTTGTGTGCACTATCTGCTGTGGTGAGTTGTGCTTCCAGATGGTAGACTTTTAGTGTTTGTGACACATGGCTCTGAGTGAAGCCACGGCCAGATAGCCCAGCCCAAGATAATTGGAATTTCATTAAGGTTTTGTTTGTGTGTGTGTGTGTGTGTGTGTGTGTGCGTGTGTGTGTGTGTGTGTGTGTGTGTATGTGTGTGTGTGTGTGTGTGTGAAGAGTGGGTGTGGGTGTTTATGTGTCTGCATGGGTGTGTTTCTCTATATACAATATTGAGGATGGGTGGTGGGGGTGGGGTTCAGGGACTCCACCTGCTGCCACCTGTTCATCTGCTCCATCTTATAAAAGCTGCTCCCGCACTGTCTCCGGGATCACAGACACCTTGGTCTCTACAAAGGACATACATCTTGGACATCAGCCAGGCGATAACAGAGGAGACCTCTGAGGAACCCCGAGGAACCCAACATCATGAAGTCCCGGCGACCCAGCTGCACCGACTCTGGATCCGAGTCCTCGGAACCAGACTCCAAGAGCCCAGAGAAATACGAGACCATCACGAGGCGACGGAATGCTGCCAATGCCAGAGAGAGGAAGAGGATGCAGGGTCTGAACACAGCCTTCGACTGCCTACGTAAAGTGGTCCCCCAGTGGGGCCAGGACAAAACACTGTCCAAGTATGAAACCCTGCAGATGGCCCTCAGCTACATCATGGCCCTCAACCGGATCCTGACAGACGCCAGGAGACACAACGCTCCTCACAGGCAGTGGCTGGACCTGCAGTTTGACTGCGTGCAGCCTGAAAATTACCCCTGCCTCGTGAGGTACGACTCTCCCACTGATCAGGACTACATCCACTCGTCGTTCACATATCCATTCGATGGCCACCAGGTCCACGCATAAACTGCTGCCATGTGGCAGATAATCAGTCATGTTGTTGGATGTGAGTGACAATGTGAATATTTCTCCTCTAATCCAGGAGAAAGTAAATACATTTGTATTGCATTATTTTCCTTCTTCATTATTTTCCAATTTTTGCAAGTGAACCCAGCAATGTTGAGCAGTTTTTTTGTTCAAAGTATAGCAATGACAAACATGTAGTGTGATTGTGATGACCACTAGATTGTACTGAAGATACAGGCAATGGTGTATTATTTGGTGTACTTTAAATCAAAAGTTACTTTGATATGGCCCTAAAATGTTGTGCAATGTTAAATGGATTCTGAGAAAATCTTTGTGGTCTTAGTTGCATAGTTAAAGTCAATATGTAACTATTTTTGTCGAAGTGTACGTACGTTTGTAGAGATGAAAAATTATAATTTTTCACACGCAGACCTCTATTTTGTTGAATTATAGTTTTTGATCAAAAAAATAAACTCTTTTGTATGAAAAATCCTTTCTCTTGATCTTGTGCAATTTTTAACTACACAAAGCTGATTCCTTGTCAAAATAATTATATTTTTATTTACTTTTGAATATTTTAAAAGCAATTATAACTGCAAAATATAAACCTGACATATTGAAAATAGTACATTTACTAAAAAGTACATTTTACCGCATGTGCATACTTTTTTCATTTCAATAAAAACATATTATCAACCCTCATGATCTCATTTGTCTTCTTTGTGTGGTAATACAACGTGAAACTAATAAAAGAAGGGTAGTCAAGGAGAAGAACTAATGTAAAGCACATCCTTTGTGTTGTGAGTGTCAAGTGCTCAGTGGGAGAAGCTCGTGTCTGCTGCACGGCCTTGTTCTGCACACTGGGGAATAAATCCTCCTTTTGTCCTGAGCTCCTGCGCTCTGAGATAAGACTGTTTTACGTCAATGGGGAACCAAAATATAAACATTTAAAACAGACTCAAGTTGGGGGGGGGGGGGGGGGGGG